GATTAGAGAGTCTGGAGGAACAATACTGCTGAGAAACAGGCAAGATGCTGGACCTCCCCATGGCTGGGGGAGATCATCTCAGACAGCCTGACCCCACCAAGGCTGCAAATGCCAATTCCCCAGAATTGGTGCAGAAAAGGAAACAGTAAAGTTGTCTCCAAAAAAACCTGCTTCTAAGTAGTGCAATCACACTGACTGCAGAGACTGACATTTGAAAAATAAGTCCAAAGACTAACAGGGATTATCACCACCTACGCACAGCTGACTGATAGGCAAATGCAAAATTAACGCTTTCTTCTTAAGAGATCAATACTGTCTTGCTAACATTAATGTGCAGAGCCCATTTGAAAAAAAGAGAACATGACAGAAGCTGAACAACTGACTTCAGACTCTTAATGTGAGAGAACAAAATGTCACCTTCAAAAATTAGACCAAGTGAAGAGCATGAGCCACAGAACCTCAGCTGAGTTCAGCTACCCTCTAACACAGCCCCTCTCATACCTGGAATAACATGTCCAAAACTGTCTGCCAGCATCCTGAATCATCACAAAGAAAAACAAACACTTATTCCAGGAACTTTCTCTCATTTTGAGCTGCAAATGCATTTACAACTCCACGCAAACATACAGTACAGGGCAAACATGGAAGCAGGAGAATTACCCCCCACCCAAATGTTCTCCCATGGACAATCTTAAAGTGGCCAAGAAAAGGTAATTTTCTACTTCTACCTTCTGCTGCCTTTGGAGAGACACACAATGAATCATCTTCTGCAGATTCAAATCAAGAGAGCATTCAAAAAGGGGCCGTTCTGGCGTTACATTGCTCTTCTGGCTCATCTCAAAACCCAGCAGCAATGCTTCCTTTAAAACTCTAATACAATACTGGAAATCTCAGCATCTAACAATGCTCCCACAAGTTTGGTGGCAAGAGTCCCCAGCAAGGGATCTCCTGTGATCCAAGCCTTACGTGGGAGTGTGTGTTCATACAAAGCACCAAAACAATACACAGACACGCATCACATCTGCAGATTGATTCTCCAATTCTGACCTGGGGACACAACAATTTCAATTCAAACTCATTGTAGACATCTGTGGAGTTATGTCAGGAACAAATCTGGCCCTAGATAAATTCTCACCTGAGGGTGCAAGGGCCAAGCTGCAACAGGATAAGCTTGCCCAGACCAAGACTCCTTTGGATGCCCACACATTCCTGCAAGGATTCCTGCAACCCCAGGAGCTTGAAAAGTATTAATGAATATGTTCACAATTTCCATTGGCCACTGGGTTTCTTCCCTGCAAGGGCTGCAGGAGGGAAGAGACAGAAAGCCTTGCAAAGCACCCTTTGGCATCTGATCCAATCCTACAAACATGTGCAATAAGCACACTCAGAGGACTGCCTCTTCTCTTGCTCAAAACATCTATTTGGCCAGAATTACAATGTTACTGACTCCTTGGGGTAAAACTATTTTCATTGGAACTATGACAACATGCACCAGCTTTTCTCAGCCTGCCATGTAAATAAAGCACTTTTGTAATATCCTGTGCAGAAGCTGAGCATGGGAAAAACACCCTTACATAATCTATAAGCGTTGACCACACTCTTGCTCACATACCCAGCCTAACATGCCGCTCCGGTCACTGGCCCTGGCTACTGATCTGTATTTGCACAGACGTCAGACTGGTATGCCTTTGGTTCCAGTCCTGGATTTAAGCAGGTAGAGGGGAAAGGGCAGAGCTTGCCTTCAAATAATGTGAGGCCTCAGAAGCACTGCTAATTTATATGATTACACACACCAGCAAAATTATTATGGTTGGTATGTTCCCAAATGCCCCAGCTCTAGGAAGCCTGTGAACGAGAAATGCTCAGTTTCATTTAACAAAAAGCTAATTCTCAGTCTTCATCTTAAAAACAGTATTAGAAGGGCCTTCATATGACTGCCTAGTCCACCCCCCAGCCCCAAGGCACACAGCTAAACTACATTATTCCCAAGAGATGTTAGTCCAGCTGATCCTTAAACACCAACACTGTGGTTCAACAGTTTGCTCAGACCCCTGTTGTGGTACTTCACCATACTAACGGGGAAAGCAAAAGCTTACAAGCTAAGTTTCCACACGTAACTTGAAGTATTAAAATAGCAGAAAGCAAGGAAAAAGACATTTCTTTTCTGTACAAAACATGATTTTAAAGTCAGCTTCATGATTTCTGGGATCCCAAGTTGTGCTTTTGGAAGACATGGGGTTGACAGTGTTACAAATCCCTCACTCAGATCTCCATTTTCTCATCACACAAACAAAACCCAGCTTCTCATTCAGACCTGCAGGATCCCCCATCTCCTGTTTATCCACCAGAAATTCCCTGTGCATCCAAGATATGCACCTGCAGCACTTCTTGGGATCACCCACAAGATTCAGGGGGTTTATTCCTCCTGTGTCAAACCAGAGCCAAAGCTGCTGACAGGCACCTTGGGATGGAAACCAAGGGTTGCGAGACTTCTGGACACGCTTCCCAGAATAAAGCCTTTTTCAGTTCCTATCTGAGACTGCCCTCTCCCCCACATCATCATGGAGCCCCCTTTGGTCCCCAGCCTTTCCACCACTGATGCTGAAAGAAGCAGCCATGCAGCAGGGACCGGAGGAACAAAAGGGGCCCAGCCTGTGTGTTAGAGAATAACCTGAATAATAAGTAAGTCAAACACCATCTGCAGGATTTTCAATATGAACAAAATACCACTTCCCAGAAGAGGTCCTAGAAAGAGAGAGTGGAGCATAGAGGGGAAGAAGGTGTCCCTAAAGAC